TAGCAATGTAATGTACCTTTCTTAAACCAATTACTCTTCTGTTTGATACTTATTTTTACGAGGGATTAGACTATACTGTGCTCAAGGTTAGCAGTGACAGAACTAAGCAAGGTGCTTAACACAGTGGGCACTCAAAAAATATTGGTCTAATACACTCTTCCTCAGAGTGCAACACACGTCATTTATGGAACATAAGCTAAATTTAGGTGGTATCATTAAGATTACATATTTAAGTTATTATGAATTTTATAAAGGCAGTATAACAGCCCCACAGCTAACATCATACTCAATGGTGAAAAACTAAAAGCTTTTCCTTTAAGATCAGGAACAAAACAAGGATGCCCACTCTTGCCACTTGTATTCAAAATAGTACTGGGTTTCCTAGCCATAGCAATCAGACAAGAAAAAGAAATAAAAGGTATCAAAATTATTAAGGAATAAGTGAAACTGTCACTATGCAGATGACATGATATTATACAATATTATACACAGAAAACCCTAAAAACACCACCAAAAAACTATTAGAAGTAATAAACAAATTGAGGAAAGTTTCAGGATGCAAAATTAATATACAGAAATCTGTTGTGCTTCTATATATGAATAACAAGGTATCAGAGTCAGAAATAAGAAAACAATACCATTCATAATTGTACCAAAAAGAATAAAATACCTAGAAACAAACTTAATCAAGGAGGTTAAATACCTAGAAATAAACTCAATCAAGAGATAAACTTAATCAAACAGTACAGACCTATACTCTGAAAATTATAAGACATTAATGAAAGAAATTGAAGAGGACACAAAGGGAAATGTATATCATGCATGCTTGTGGATTTGAAAGAATAGTATCGTTGAATTGTCCTTGCTATCCAAAACAATCTACAGATTCAGTAAAATCCATATCAAAATACCAACAGCATTTGTCATAGAACTAGAACAAATAATTCTAAAATTTTTATGGAATTACAAAAGACCTTGAAGAGCCAAAGCAATCTTGAGAAAGAAGAACAAAGCTGGAGGTATCACAATTCCAGATTTCAAGATATACTATGAAGCTGTAGTAATCAAAACAATATGGTACTAGCACAAAAATAGACACATAGATCAATGTAACAGGATAGAGACCCAGAAATAAATCAATGCTTATATGGTCAATTAATCTATGACAAAGGAGGCAACAATATGTAATGATAAGTCTCTTCAATAATGCTGTGAAAACTGTACAGGTATGTACAAAGGAATGAATATGGATCGCTTTCTTATACCATATACAAAAAATAAACTCTAAATGGATTAAGGACCTAAATACCAATCTGGAAACCATAAAACTCCCAGAAGAAAACACAGGCAGTAATCTCTTGCACATTGGCCTAGATATGTCTAGATATGTCTCCTCAGGCAAGGGAAATAAAAGCAAATTAAATGATTGGGACTACAGCAAAACGAAAAACTTTTGCACAGTTAAGGAAACTATCAACAAAGCAAAATGCAGCCTATTGAATGGAAAAAGATATTTGCAAATGATATATTTGATAAGGTGCTAATATCCAAAACATATAAAGAACTTACAAGAATCAACACACACACACACACACACACACACACACAACTTGATTAAAAATAGGCAGATGACCTGAATAGATATTTTTCCAAAAAAGACATTTTAGATGGCCAATCAACACAGGAAATATATTTAACATCACTAATCATCAGGGAAATGAAAACCAAAAACACAATGAGATACCATCTTACACGTGTCAGAATGACAAGAATAAAAAAGACAATAAGTACCAAGTGTTCACAAGGATGTGAAGAAAAAGGAAGATTTGTGCTCTATTGGTGGAAATGAAAATTGGTGCAGCCACTGTGGAAAACAGTATGGAGGTTCCTCCAAAATTTTAAAATAGAAATATGACATGATTCATTAATTCCACAACTGAGTCTCAAAGAAAACAAAATGCTAATTTGAAAAGATATATGCACTCCTATGTTTACTGCAGTATTATAAATAACAACCAATATATGAAGCAACCCATTGCTAGATGTCCATTAATAGATGAATAAATAAAGAAGGTGTGGTATATATGTGCAATGGATTCAGTCACAAAGAAGAATGTGATCTTGCCACTTGCAAAACATAAGGATTTTGAGGGTATTATGCTAAGTGAAATTCATCAGACAAAGTCAAACATCATATGATTTGACTTATATGTGAAATCTAAACAAATTAAAAAAGCAGAAATTACCCATAAATACATAAACCAAACACGGATTCCAGAGTGGAGAGAGCTGGAACAATCTACAAAATAGGTGAAAGTGAGTGAGAAGTACATGTTATCTCTTCATGAAATGAATAAGTCATGGAGGTGAAAGCTACAGCATAGGGAATTAAATCAATAGTATTATAATAGCTATACTTATGATGAGCATAGCATAATGTATAGAGTTGTCAAATGACTACATTTTCACCTGAAACTAAGGTAACTTGTATGTCAACTATACCTCATATACATATATGAAAAAAAACTTTAAAAAGCTTATGAGTTCATTTTAATGTGTTTTTAAAAACTATAACTGTTATATCAAATACACGATATCAGAGATATTGCTTAAGAAATGGCTAAGTTATGGAAGTATCACAATTCCAGGCTTCAAGTTATATTACAAAGCCGTAGTGATCAAGACAGTATGGTACTGGCACAGAAATAGACAAACAAAAAAAAAAACAAAACAAACAAATAAAACAACAACAAAAAAAGAAATAGACAAACAGCTCAGTATAACAGATAGAAAACTCAGAAATGAACCCACAACCCATAATGATAAATTAATCTGTGATAAAGTAAGAAAGAATATCCAATGGAAAAAATGCAGTCCCTTCAACAAATTGTGTTGGGAAAACTGGACAGTAACATGCAAAAGAATGAAACTGTACCCTTTCTTACACCATAAACATACACAAAAATTCAAAATGGATGAAAGACCTAAATGTGAGCCAGGAAACCATCAAAATCTTAGAGAACATAGGCAGTAACCTCTTTAACATCAGCCAAAGCAACTTTTTACTATATATGTCTCCTGAGGCAAAGGAAACAAAAGCAAAAATAAACTACTGGGACTACATCGAAATAAAAAACTTCTGCACAGTGAAGAAAACAATCTATAAAAGTAAAAGGCAGCCTATGGAATGGGAGAAGATGTTTGCAAATGACAGATAAAGGGTTAATATGTAAAATCTATAGAGAACTTATCAAACTAAACATCCAAAAAAACAAATAATCCAGTTAAGAAATGTGCATAAGACATGAAATAGACAATTTTCTAAAGAAGACATACAGATGGCCAACAGTCACATGAAATGATGTTCAACATCACTCATCATCAGGGAAATACAAATCAAAACCCCAGTAAGATACCATCTCATACCTGTCAGAATGGCTAAAATGAACACAGGAAACAAAAGGATCAAGGATCCAGAGAAAGGGAAACCTTCTTACACTGTTATTGGGAATGCAAACTGGTGCAGCCACTCCGGAAAACAGTATGGAGTTGTCTCAAAAAGTTAAAAATAGAAGTACCCTATTATCCAGCAATTGTGCTACTAGGTATTTATGCAAAAGATAGAATAATACTAACTTGAAGGGATACGTGCATCCCAATGTTTATTATAAACAATAGTCAAATTATGGAAAGAGCCCAAATGTCCATCAACTTTTGAATGGATAAAGAAGATGTGGTATGTTTATAAAATGGAATATTACTCAGCCTAAATAAAGAAGAGCTCTTGCTATTTGCAACAATGTGAATGGAGCTAAACTGTATTATGCTAAGCAAAAAAAAAAAAGTCAATCAGAGAAAGACAAATATCATATGATTTCACTCATATGTGGGACTTAAGAAATAAAACAAATGAACATAGGAGTGAGAAAAGCAGAAAGACACACAAACCAAGAAACAGACGGATGTTTAGTAGAGGGGAGGTGAGTAGGGGAATGGGCAAAATAGGTGATGGGGAGTAAGGAGGGCATTGTGATGACTACTGGGTGTTCTAAGTGATGAATCACTAGATTCTACATCTGAAACTAATATTACACTGTATCTTAATTAACTGGAATTTAAATAAAAATTTGGAGAAAGGAAAAAAACAGAATACTTGAAAAAAGACAAAAACTTTCAAAAGTGGGGAGGGGAAGAACCAAAAGAAAATGTTTTTTGAAGGGGTAATAAAAGAAATGGCTAAGTGAAATGAAAATATTAAAGGATTTAAGAGTAACTCTTCTTCTTAATACTTCCTATTTACTCACACTGCATAATACTTTTGATAGGACCTGTCATAATTTGACATAAGTATTTATTGCTCCTCTCCCCAGAATGTAAGCTCCATTAGGGTAGATGGTTGGTTATTTATGTATTTATGTATGTATTTATGCATGTATGTATATATATATTTATGGCTGCTATACTCCCACAACTTAGAATAGTATCTGGTAAGTAGTAAGAGCTCAATACATAGTTACTTAAAGAGAATGAGGAAGGGACATAGGATGGGATGGATTGACAGAGAGAGGGAGAGATGAAGATCAATGTATTTGACCAATTCACAGAATCAATTTTTGAGCTGGAAAGAATCTCAGTGCTCTCATTTTACAGATAAGGATATTAATGCCCAGAAAGGGCTAGTGAATTATCAAGCCACACTGGCAGTCATGTCAGAGCCTAGATCCAACCCATGTAATTTAATAAGAGGTTGGTGAACTTCTCAGAACACCAATTTCTAGGCAGTACAGACAAATGAAGTCTTATTACTTCTCATAACAGATCTCAAAATGATGAAAATCTATAGTTAAGATACTGATGGTTGCTTCATTCAGACACCAATAATCATGAGAGAAAAAGCAAAGCCAGAACAAAGGTGAATAAGAAAACTAGGATTTTTCTGACTCACTGTTTTAGAGTATAAATATTCAACAGTATATTCATGATGAAAACATAAGCATTACCTCCAAGGACCATGCCAGCCTGACAGCACTTTCTAAGGCGACATGCTGGGCAGTTTTTTCTGCGGATTTTATCAACAATGCAGTCATTTCTTCCAGCACATAAATAGTTATGCTGCCCTAAAAAACAAAACACAAATAAAAGTTATCTATGATATCTAAAGACCATTGGAAATTTTATGCACTGACAACTTAAAAAAAAAAAGCAACAAATGCACATCAAGTGCATTAATGTCTCAGCCAACCTCTTGCTTGCCATAAGTAAAAGCTGGTGATGCTCCAAATCTATTTAAAACTTTACTTGTGTCTTCAGGAGCCTTAATGAGATGAACACAATTTATAAATCGATTTGAGGGCTCCTTTAAAAATCTTTTGCACAATATTTCTGTGCATCTTCTTAATGATGTCAATATCAGATTGCCCTTAGGCCTTTCTATCATATCAAGATTAACTACATGTTGTTGAGAAGTATTAGTCATGTAAAACAGTCAAACTGTAGTAAACTTTTTTCTTTCTGACATCTAAACCTTCAAGAAAACAGATACAGACTAAAGAATTTTAAAAGTCTCTAAAATAGACCTTTTATAAAATCTATTCACTTCATTCTATTGGAAAATCCTGGAACTATCTTACCTTTAAAGGGCCTAACACATGAAAAAAGATGTTACTGATTGTACTGACTTCACTGCCTAGTTTATTTTGGCTGCAAATTATAAAACACAATAAATAGAAATAATAATAAAGGTAGAACAATTTAAAACAATGAGAAGCATTGAATGAAAGGGGACAAGAATTATAGAAGAAATGTGCATAAATGTGTGACTCTGGGATCATACGTGCAGGAGAAATATTCTTCAAAAGGTCTGGAATATGAATTTACTATTTAACCATGATGATTTTGAACCACAAATGTGTTCCATTTAATAAAGCATGGAACAATCTAATTTACTTGGATTGAACAAAAAAAAAAAACCAAAAACAAATCTCAGCTTAAACATATAAACCTTAATTAACTGGAAAAAAATTCTGGCACTCTTTATTTTCCTGTAAATTCTTGTAACACGGACTGAATCTTTTAACATTTGTAGCTTCCTTATATTTAGGTATGAAAGGTGATTTTAAAGATTATGGAATTCTCTTTAATATTTTGTATTACTCAACATTAAAATCAGATTCACTCTTTTGGCCAAAGTTTGTGGTAAAGGAACACAGAGGTACCTTAAACATTTGCTTAATCAAGCAGGGGAAAGAATATGTCATCTGCCCTTTTTGAAACATGGGGCAATATTACCAAAGATCTTTAATAGAACACTACATTTTTCTCTTTCTCCTTGGAAAATTTTATATATATATTAGGGCAGAAAAAGCAAAGGGTAATTACTATTACATCTTTTCCTTTAAATTACATATTCTCTTTTATTTGATGTTCTAGCTGTACTAACATCCTTATATTTCCCCCAAACTCTTTCATGCCTTTATGACTCTCCTCCCTTTTCTAAATACATCTGTTTGCCAAGCTCTTGGTCTGTTTCAATCTGGTCTTAACTGATCCCAGAAAGGCCTAGACATTTCTTCTGTGTAGCCAAATAAACACTCAATGTTTAATAATGTTTAATTTACTATTGTAAATACTGCTTTTCTGTTTCGCTTAAGTTTTGTGAAGTTAAAAACTATGTCTTTTGTAAATCCTGTGTTAAATAACAGTTCAATAAATATTTGTTGAATATATGTATACTTAATTATACATCGTGCTTCACCTATAGCTATAACCATGATTTACTCAACAATATAAACTCGATAGTAATATTTCACTTATTGTCACATATAGTAAATTTTTAAAAAATCTCTTGCTCCAGATTTTTATTTACCAACTTTCATTGTTTTTATACAGAATACTTGTTAATTCAACAAGTTTCTTGCCTTCTTATATTAATAGACCATGAGTTAGTCTTTAACAAGCTTATTTTTTATAGTTTTATTTTTATTACAATTCTTAAAATTCCAGTATAATTAACATAGTGTTATATTAGTTTCAGGTGTACAATATAGTTCAATGTTTCAATACATTACCCAGTACTCATCATGATAGCATATTTTTAATCCCCCTTTATCTATTTCATCCATCCTCCTTCCCACTTCCCTTCTGGTAATCACCGGTTTGTTCCCTATATTTAAGAGTCTATCTCTTTTTCCCTTTGTTCATCTATAGCAAGCTCATATTTAACATCTACCTTTGCAAAGACAGAAGTTATTATTTATGAAAAATTTGTATTTAATTACCTGAAAAAGAGATTATTGAATGGCTATACTTAAATTGTATTTCCAACTGTTCTCTGTATTTAATATATTAATATAACTTCAAGTTATGTTAAAGGAATCATATTTTGTGAAAATAAAAGCACTATTAAAATGTGACTAGATCATTTTATATCCCTAATGATTTATTAAAATTTTAGATACAGGAAAAAAGTTTCATTTTGTTTGAAATGAAATCTATTATTACCTACAAAGAGATTTACCTTTAAGATAAGAATTCTATATTATTTACGTTGCCTTATAAGCCCAAGTAAACACATTTCACTTAGGTTTAAGAGAAGTCACTTTTGCATGCCTTTCTTTGAAAGGGAGGGGGAACCGTAGTAAAATGGCAGAAAAAAATGAATATATTATGTCTAACAGATAAAGAACAAACAAGAAAAAGTTGGTATGGTGTGACTCATGAAGCACAGGCTTGAGGCAACATAAGCTGGTGCTCATGGAGGCATCGCTTCCACCACAAACACATAAATGTTGAATAAAATATGACAAAAGCATGTTGTTTACTTACAGTCTAGAACAAAAAAAGTGTGTGTGTAGGAAATCTCAATAAGCCAGAAATTAAAAAGAAAGGCAGAAGGGTAAACTGGAATGGACTGTACAGTGGCCAAAAAAAGTTTCAGATCAGATACAGGACCTAGGAGCCAAGACCTGGGCTTCAACACTCACAAGGGGCCAGAATTTGTGGCCTCAGTCCCACTGGGGGGACAGCATGGGAACTGAACTTTATATAAAATGGAGAATCTCAAAAGGCTGTCTTTTCGTGAAAATTGAGCTAGAAAACACTATCCAGACTATGCTGATAAAGCCAGGAATCTGCCCAAAATTTTGGGTGGGGAGAAGAGCCACCCATGACTAAAAACAAAATATGCTAAACAAAAAAATCTTGGCCTCTATGAGAGGTGATTTTTACTACCACATGATGTATGAATCTGTGCCAAGTAATAAATACTGGTCTGAGACCAATAAAATTCCTAGAATCCTGGGAAAGCCAAATGCAAAACTCAAGTATGTACATATGCAAAAAAAGAGAGATCTGTATGAGAATATCTATAGAAACAGTATTTGTGGGGCACCTGGATGACTCAGTGATTGAGCGTCTGCCTTTGGCTCAGGGTGTGATCCTGGGGTCCTGGGATCAAGTCCTGCATCGGGATCCCTGGAGGAAGCCTGCTCCTCCCTCAGCCTATGTCTCTGCCTATCTCTCTGTCTCTTGTGAATAAATAAATAAAATATTTAAAAAAAGAAACAGTATTTATAATAGTCCCAAATTGAAAACTCAAACAATAATCTATAGCATAATGTATAAACAAACTCTTTTATTGATTCAATGCATTATTATACAGCAATGAGAATATCTAGCCTAAGCAAAAATGTGGATGGGTCCATAAATATAATATGTAAAATAATAAATGGAGAAAACACTGCATGATTCCATTGATATAAAGTTCCCAGACAGTGAAAACCATTTATAATGTTAGAGATTGAGATGGTAGTTACATATGGGGAATGATTGGAGGGTGCAAGAGGTTTTCTGGGAAGCTAATGATTTGTAAATTGTTTGACCTGAATAATAATAGTATAGTTTCATTTACTTAATGATAATTAATTAAGCTTTACACTTCTCTTTGAGCACTTTCCTAAAATTATGCCAATAAAAAGCTTTTTAAAACATATTTTATTTATTTATTCATGAGAAACACAGAGAGAGGGAGGCAGAGACACAGGCAGAGGGAGTAGCAGGCCCCATGCAGGGAGCCTGATGTGGGACTTGATCCCAGGATTCGGGGATCACTCCCTGAGCCGAAGGCAGACGCTCAACTGCTGAGCCACCCAGGCGTCCCAAAAGAGTTTTTTAATTTCTTTTTAAAAATAGTTCCACCTGAGAGGATGGACTAGAGGACACCGATCCAACAAAGGGAGTTCTGTGTAGGAACAATCATTTGAAGTTCAGAGACTGAGCATAGAAGTAATAAGGAGTGTCCAGAGAGAAGAGAGATATCACCTGCATTATAGGATTACAGTTGAAGCTTTCCAGTGAAATATCCCATGAATCCCACCAAACATCCTGCTAGAGAAATAGCCAGTTATAATCATCCACCAAACAGAGAAGTCCAGTGATAGTCACATATGCACCTGCCAAATACAAATGTGTTCCTCCTTTTAACCTGGGCTTTCTTCCTATGCCTTGATATTGAAAAGGTCAAAATTAGCTATTAAGGGATTTTAGGAATGTGAGTATGATAAATACAGAAGAAGGTGATCTTGTGGGTTCTTGCAACTTCAGGCCCTAACCAGTGGGCCTAAGCTCTAGCAAAGAAGAAACTAAATTAGGTGAGAATTTGGGATTTGGATTTTCATGCTGTCCTGTGTATTTTTATCACTGAAATGAGACTGTGCTTTTGTTAAAAACTATAGGAACGGACCGAGATGTCATAGAGAAGATGAAACAACAACTAGACCATAGGTGTGCTGTTGTTAGAGGTCATGCTGACGTTGGCATTGTGACATACACACACACACACACACACACACACACACAAATATGAAACATACATATAAAAACAATAACAGAATTATTTTAATACTGTTACAAATAAAATTGGAAACTAGTGCTTCTCAACTAGAGGCATTATTGCCGTGTTCCCATACAGGGCGAACCACCTCTGGAATGTTCTGCAATGCCTGGGAACCATTTTGCTTCACACAACTACGGGCAGGTGCTACTGAGGACAGGCCAGGGATGGGATGCTCTGAAGCTCCCACAATGCACAGGAAAGTCCTAACAACAAAGAATTAATGGG